TAGACCCTGCGGAGACCACCCGGTATGCGGATTAAATGTATGCAGGTTAAATGTATGCAGATTGAATCAAGTGTTTGAATCGAGCCCAGACCGCGGACGCCACTGTCGCAAAATAATGAAGCCGTCGGGAAGGTTTCCCGATCATGTCCGAGTACGTCAACGGATATTCTGGGCGCACATCCTCGCTTCCGTTCTGCTCTCCTTCCTTCCTCGCCCATTTGCCCGCTGTTTCTTTGAGTTGTCTATTGTCCGTGATCGAACGACGAAGGCAAAGACAGGCGAAGGCTTGGCGCAGACCCACGAAGCCGGAACCTGTCTTTGTCTTTCTCTTCAAGAACCACACAAGACTGGCCGCTCGGGCCTCTGCAGGCGGCGCTGGGATTCCCTTCCCTCGCGCCGCAGCACACTATCGCCGCCCCCGTCGACATAGTGTACAGGTTCGTCGTATCCATGGACCAACACTTCCGCCAACGTAACTCCCATCCCCGCGGCGCCGAAACATCTGCAGCAGCCTTCCACCTAGGCTCGATCATCGTCTAGACTGCTCAGTAACGCGCCTCCATCGGAGACTCGATTATCCCCGCCATCTCCACATCTCCCTCTCTATCTCGGCGGTTCGGGAGGATGCAGCCGCAACGGTGCATGGTAGCGGAGATACCAGTGCGGGCTCGGACGAATAGCACCAGCAGGTGCCAGGTACGTCGCTAGCTGGCATCCGCCGTAACTGACGAAAGCTGCTTTCCCCTCTAGTGTTACTGCTCATTTTGCGCTATCTCGCCTATTATCATCCTCACCCTTCATTCTGCATAATCCCCTCCCCTCTCCTCTGGTGCCCGCTCTTTCAACCTCTTCCTCAAGACGTCAAGGCTGTACAACGATACACGCAACCCCACCCTCCACATTCTACACCTGCTCTCGTTCTCCAGCCCTTCGCCACCCACCTCATCCGTTCGCGTATCATCCCCCGCTGCTTCCCCCTCCCCTCGCTGGCGGCGGGGCGCTATCGTCGTCTAGCGGTGCTTCTTGCGCGTGGGGATTCCCTTGAATATGGAAATCCAGCTATGGTACTTGCGCTTGCGCCCAAGGCCTTTCGGGGCCTTATACAGCTCACAACCCTCGCAATATGGTCCTCCCCGACCACCGCCCGGCTTGTCATCGACGTTACGGGTGTTATGGTCCGCCGTATACACCGCGCAAGCCAGCAATGGCTTTGGCTTTGAGATCGGCGAGGACGACTTTGCGGGTGTAGCTTAGCCCAGAACCGCGCCGTCATCTATTAGCGCAGACGGCGCATTCCTTGTCGACGGTGTAGGGCTCCGGGGAAGACAGGAGTTAAGCGCGCGGCGTCCTCGTCCTCGTCTGCGAGCCTCCATCCATACCACGCCCATCTGGGTCAGGTGCTGTTCATGGAGCACGCATGGAGGTGGGGTTGTGAAAGTGCGGGTACGAGACGAGGTGGTGGGGCGATAACTTCGTTCTAGGGTACAGAAGGTGCTACCGTATCGCAGTCCCCGAAACGCTTCGTGCGCAGGTATCGGTCGCATCGGGACCCTTGCGAGCGAGCGCCAGGACGCCAACGATGTGCTGACTTTATTCCCCGCGATTCTCCAATCATCCGACCTTCTGTCCGCGGTCATGGGTACCCGATCTACCCGATGTCGTGATCTTGCCTAGTCAATAATTGACATTCCTTCATGTCGTCGAGTATCCAATGTTACCGTTTCCCTGTTCCCCATTTCCGTGCATGTCTCATCGCCGAACATACCCCTCGGAACAGTGTCGTTGACGGAGTTGTCGCTCCGATGGCTCAGACCATTCAATCAGGGTGTGGAACAAGTATACCTACCTACATTTTCGGCACCGGTGCGACTTTTGCGTATAATGTGGCAGCGGTTCGCTGATCACGATACACATGCAAAAATGCTGAATTTTCGAAGCGGGCTGCTCTGAATCCCTGCGCTCCATCTCCATTTGATCTAGACGGGTTGTCCAGGGTCGTTGGGCCTGTTCTGATGGCAGGCAGCAAGTTGAGTTCAAGGAAAGCACCTAAATTTCGGAAACATTTGAGCGGCATGGTATACATCCGTTAAGTGTGGTATCCTTTTTGCAGTTTTCCATGCCGATTTAAAGAAGCTTTCGGCCATGATTCCGGTATTCGAAGCAAAGGCTGGGGAATGTTCCAGGGACTGCTCGCAAGATAACAGATTTCGAAGAGGCCGGGACGTGCAATGTTCGCGCTTCTGTAGTTCCGTTTTCGTTTTTGTCCAGCGCATGCATATGTGTATCGAGGCTTGCACAAAGATTGTGTGTCGCTTTGTGGGCGTAGCAGCTCTCCTATCACGCGCTCCCATGGCGCAGACATCGTCTTATTCCTTGCTCAGTAAGTGTGCGCTGCTCTCGTCTCTGTCATTCTGCTCACGGCCTCCACTAGTCCAAAGTGCAGATCATGTTGTTTACTACAAAGCCTTCTCTCTTCCCTTCCAGTCTTCCCATCCCCAATCCGGCTTCTTCCTTCATTCCTTCCTCCTCTCTCTCCCCCGCACCCGATCCCCTCGATTTCTTTCCCAATGTTTCAATGAAATCACTCGACTTCTTCCCAATGTTCCATTGACATATAATAGAGGCTTTGCGCTGAGCCACCAGAAGCCACCGGGTGGCTCGTCAGGCATGCGGTCATGGTGGCTAAAATGACGCAAAAATCATATTTTTAGCCACCAGTGAAGCCACCGGATGACGTCGTGGCTGGCGTATCCACCGGACAGCGCATGCCGAAATAGCCACCCGGTGGCTCCTGGTGGCTCTGCGCAAAGCCTCTAATACTGATGACACTCGGCCTCGCGCAACTCCGGGCCGTCTTCCTCTTTGTCCAAGAGACCCTGCTCACCGCCCTCCTCGGCCCCCAACGTGGACTATACGAAACTGAACTACGTGCATTGGTGCGTTGTGTTCTTGCTTCCATTCTCTCGCTCACCTCATTGTTTTTGGATCAAAGATGTATAACGCGCTTGCGGATCAATAACTATCTGGTGGGTTCCTTCCCGCTTGTCCCTCTTTGCTTCTTGCGCGCGCACTTGAGCGTTGTACCCGGAACGTCTTCGCTGTCTAACGCGCCCGCTTCTACTTACGCTCTCGTTGCTATTCCTCTCGTTCTCCGACGCTCATCTCATCGTCCCCACCTTACCTTACATTATTAATCGTCCTATCTAGTATCTACATCCTCTACAGTACTCATACCCCGTTCGGCGTGCCTCGGTCTTTTCTATTTTGATTTCATTGTCATAACCCACCTCCCACTCCTCCCCTTGTTTTCTTTCCCTTTAACCGCCAAAAAAAAAGCAAGACTTACCAGCAACTGCGGCGTCCGGTGGTGGCCACCGGCGGGCTGCGAATGTCGGATCTATTGCTGGATGGCCGCTTGAGGTTCTGGTTCCCATTATGGCAATGTAGTATTCGTAATGATGTCAATATACTCGAGTACACCCCTTTCCATCCATTATTTGGCTCTGATGAGCTCCTTGGGCCCTTTTTGGAGCCGATATCTACCTTCTTCAGGGGCTGACTTCACGGATCTCAGTTCTCAACCACAAATTGATGTGTCATAGGCACAGATTCACAGAGAACGCGAGTTAAAGAATTGTGTAAACACATGAGGAGCAAAATTAAAGACTTGAGAAGCATTGCATAGCTCGGGCCCGAGTCGAACGGGCGGATCCCCAGATCTACTGGAAGCTTTCCGAATACTGTGTTAGGATATGGACCGTCCACTACCGAGCCGATATCCACCTTTTTACAACCTTGGGCTCAGTGGGTTGGGCGAGGAGGCGAAGAGGATTCCTCGCACTGCCAGTCTGGCCAAGAAAAGAACATCCTCTCTTAGACACGCTGTTGGATTCAGTCGGCCTAGCCTCGGGATGTCGACAGAACAGAACAGGAGGGGGAAAAAGCGGGTGACTCCTCCAAAGCTACGTTTTTTTTGTAAAACAAAAGGTGAAGATTAAAAATGGCATGGCCAGGGCGTAATCTTCTGCAGATGAATTAAATTGGTGAGGTGTATTTGGGGGAGGTGTATTTGGGGGAGGTGTCGACCATCCACTATCGAGTCGATAGCATCCTTCTTCATGATCAGAAGTTGACATCTTGATCGCTGCCCTCAATCGTTCAATGATAGGCACGGAGGCCAATGGGAATATAATCAAAGAAAAGAAGCAGAAGAAGAAAAAAAAAATCGTCGACCTCTTCCAATGGCTGGGACCCGAGTCGAACGGGCTGTTCCTACTAAAACAATGATATCTACTGATAACACTCTTCACTGTTGGGAGGATTGGACCGTCTACCACCGAGCCGATATCTATTCCGGTCCGCTGTTGAATTTACTTCGCTAAATATGTGAAATCGGCCTTAAGCTCCAGATAACACAAGGCTCACATAAACGTTTAACCGTATCACTGCAGTTGGATTCAGATGAATTTACCTTGAGATGATGCGCCAGATACAGCAGGGGCAAAAAAGAGTGACTCCTTCGAAGCTACGACTCGGGCCCGAGTCGAACGGGCAGTTCCTCCACACCACTTCGTGACGAAATTCATCTACCGCCGGGAGGCGTGGACCGTGAAAGTATGTACAAATAAAATTTCGTTTTGGATGTCAGATGCGAAGCCATGACAAAAATAGACTCGCTTCGAATTCCACAAATTTCACTTTGTATTGTGTTGGCCTTACATTTAGACAACTGGGAAAAAAGAAAAAGCTCAGCAGGCAACCATTCCAAGTAGGGCTCGGGCCCGAGTAATTCCCAGAATGTTGGGAGGCGTGCTGAATTTAGTCCCCGCTAAAAAAGATGTATGGAAACCCGGACCTGAGCTCAAGATAACACAAGGTTCACATAAACGGTTAATTGTATCACTGCACCCGGATTCGGGTGACTTTGCCTTGCCTTGGGATCTTGAGATGATGGGACAGATTCAGATGGGGGAAAACGATGGATTTGTTGTAGATATATATGGCTCGGACCCGAGTCGAACGGGCGGCTCCTCCAGACCAATTAGATGTCTTGTATCAGATTTATCATTGGGAGGTGTGGGCCTTCCACTACCGAGCCGATGTGTAATCTGTTGGGGCGTTGTATATGCCTGATGGTTCAATTATTGCAATTTGAACAATATCCTTATGGCCTGGACCCAGAGTGGTTTTACTGGGCGAAGATGAAATAAAAAAAACTAAAAACCAAAATACCGACGATATATGGCTCGGGCCCGAGTCGACCGGGCGGCTCGTCCAGGCCAATTAGATGTCTTGTATCAAATGTATCATTGGGAGGTGTGGACCTTCCACTACCAAGCCGATATGCAGTCTGTGGGGTGTTGGATTTGCCTGATGGTTCAATTCTCGGTTGAAGGCCTTATTCTTTGGGATTTAGGTACACAAAAGAGGAGTTGATTTTGGACTCTGCGAAGCTATGACAAAAATAAACTCAGTTCGAATTCAAAGTTTTCCAAGCAAGTTGACTTTGTGTTGTGTTGGCTGTATATTTAGACAACTGGGGGAAAAAAAGACAACTATTCTAAGTATGGCTCGGGCCCGAATCGAACGGGCTGGTTCTCCAGAAACGTTTTCATGACTCGGTAATTTTGGGAGGTGTGGACCATCCACCACCGAGCCGATTCTTACCTCTAATACTGCACTGGGTCTCGAACTTGTGTGCAAATAAATTGATCTAGGAGGTCCGATGTTAAAAACAGATTGGGTTCAAATTTATCAAGAAGTACACACTCAAGTTGAGTTGTGTTGTTGACCTTGTATTTAGATAGAACTTGGGCTGGGAAAAAAGAGAAAGAAAGAGAAAAAAGCGTGACTACAATAGTAAGGCTCGGACCCGAGTCGAACGGGTGATTCCTCCACACCAATTAAATGTACAACTCAGATATCGTTGGGAGAGCTGGACCGTCCACCGAGCCGGTAGCAGCCTTGTTAGGATGTTGAATATACGTCGCCAATTTCTGCTGTGTGCGATCTATCACCTCTTAACTCAGTCAAAATTCATAGGGGTCCTAGTGGAGGACGCCCCCTCTGCCTGCCATGTGGCCTATTCCATCAGAAACTCGGAACGAAGTTTGTGGGCTCAAAATGAGAAATGGAAGGACAAAGGAAAGGAGCAACAAGCTTGAAGAAGAAGATGGCTCGGGCCCGAGTCGAATGGGCTGCTTCTCCACAATACTCTTTGAACAATGCGACATTTTGGAGGTGTGGACCGTCCAATACCGAGCCGATATTCTACTTGTTATCATAATCACCATGATCGTTGAATTGAGCTGCACGAAACCGATTCCGGGCCAGATGACTGTTGTATTATTATTATCAATCACCCTGGCCTCCATACCCATGTTACTTCGATTCTCCGCCAATTCTCATGACACATCGATTTTGATTCTGCAATCGCCCTCATGAATCAATCCCAGAATAGTGACTGAATCGCCACATGAATCGGGTCGGTCAAAGTTCATTCGATTCTATGGTGATTCAGAACACAGAATCGGGTCCAGAATCAGTCCAGAATCGTCGATGAATCGGTGTCGACTTGACCGCTTTGACTTCCCCTATTACAGTAGGTTGAATTGAAGCCACTTCACTCAACTTGAAGCCCAAGGTTCAAATTGCACTCTCTACAGTATGCATGTACATGCCGCTTGGCCAGCTAGCGTTCGCAAGTCGTTCCAGAAAATAACTGAAACATCCTGTGGCTACATCAGAGTCCCTGCACACACACCAAAAATATCTCTTTCCAAAAGCCGAGAAAGCCGAACATCGGAAGCCCCAACCCAACAAGCGCACACAGACAGAAAAAGTTTGCCAGGGATTCCTGATTAATCCCCATCTGCAGACGGGACTAACTTCCCCGTCAAGTCGTGTTGCTTCCCCTAACCTCTGCTCTCCCACGCTTTCACATTTCCTTGTTCACAAACGCGAAAGTCGTTTCTCGCACAACTGGCTTTTTCCCCCTTCTCCGTCCTCCTCTTCCCTCACCTTGTGCTCTCGCTGACACACCCGCAGGACGATGACACCACCGGCCATCTGTAAAAGATACACACAGAAGCACCATGGGCATCTTCATCGTCACGCAGACTTTGTTGCTGTGTGGTGAATTCAAGTATTCCTACCGCCATGGTACGTCCCTCTCCCATTTCCGGATAAAACCATCCTTTCCCTGCGAACTCAACTTCCAACCTGTTATATCCCGAGTCAAGGTCGGATGACCGGATGCCGGCCGGTCGTTCGGAAGCCGGTTACCGGAAGAAAGTACCAGGAGGTTATAGAGTGACCGGTTGGCTAGGGAAGAACACAGACACCACAGAGGAGTTGTATGGGGTGAGTGTTGCTATCTGGCCAATCGAGCAGAGAGGATAAGAGATAGACGTCTGGATGAAGTCCGGACGAGACGACTCAAGGAGCCAAGCAAAGGATAAGAGGCTAAGCACGTTTATTATCAAACTGAAGAATACAGCATAGTACATAGGGCTTTTATACATAGACATACGTGTCATTACTATAAGTAGTAATGTCAAAGCAAAGTCCGAATTAGGAGATAGAAGTTCGAGTCGGACAAAGCGACGTTTAAAACTGGGAGTTGGAATTGTGTGGACATACAGATAAACGGTAAACACTCAGTAATCCTTCATTGCGTAAAAACCCGTTCTGAGCAGCAACCAGTTCGACTGGTTGCTGGAAACCGGAAGAGCGGCCAGTCGAGCCCGGCTGATGGTAAGAAGACCGGCTGAGGGCCGGGTGTATGTGCACGGATATAACACAACCCTGGACTTCTTGCAAGCGATAGATGTGTCTTCGGTTCATGACCTCAAGCCACACATTAGACCATTACACAGGGGGCATGCCCCACTGCATATCAGTTCATAAGCCGCAGACACTTATGAATGGCAGTTTGCTCGCTTATTGATGGCTCAGAGAAATTGCTGCGTGTTTCCCTCATGTGCATGTGTAATGCACATTGATGTGTCGTGGGTTCAAACCTGCATAGCAGCATTCTTTTTAAGATATCACCTTTCATTTGCTGGCAGACTCAGAAGTATACAAGGAATGTTGGCTACACCTCTAAAAATTACTGAACTTTATGTAGACATATATCTGTCTGCATTGCTGAATTTCGTTCAGGTGTGTTAGGCACACAGCAAATATTCCCTTATTCAATGCAATCCATAGAGCTTAGAATCTCTTCTTTGGCTCCTTGGAACACAGCCGGTATCTTGAAAAGTATAAGACTTCAGAGGGATACAGGCAAAAGACCCAAAGTTCCAATTCGTCAATTCATCAAGGGAGCTCAAGCTGCGTGACATCCCCCAAAATTTTGTCAACCTGTGAAAATATTCCAGGAGTTGTGGTGAATGCACAGTGGCTCAATGGAACAGTTTACGAATTACCTGAGCAATTTATTTCAACATATATTTGAGTGATGCGGGAAAATCCATTTTTTACTGCTGAATCTGCTCTCAACCACGATATTTGTGAGATTTGAAACCAGAAACCTTGAAAATGAGCAAGAGTTTGATTAGAAAGTGCTTATAGCTAAGGAAAATTGCTCCGAGCGGCCCTGAACCGAAATTTTGAACCTACCGTGACAAAAAAGTATATTCATTAAGAGCCTCGGTGATGCGTGACAAGGTTGCAAAATTCATCACGTCAAGCACCCCCATGACACGTGACTGATGAATTGAATTTAACAGTACAGTAATGGTATGGTGCCAGACGGAACATAGGCCAGTCAGTGTTTATATGCTACAATTTGGGTGCCTGAGATCCATAACCTCAAAATGGGTGCCTCATCGAGAGTGCTGGGATGATGAGTGGAGCACAGTATATTACAACTTGGCATGTTCCAGAAAATGGGACCGGGTCAAGCTGATGCATTACACTGGTTGATCATTTCGAATTTTTCAGTGGAAAAATTGGTCAAAAATGTCCATTATTTTTCACACTTTTTTGGACTGAAAAAGCAAGTAAAAAACTTAAAACTTTTGCAGCACTTTTTGGCTTGTTTCAAAAATTTCACCTTAAAAACAGAAAAGTGGTGAAAACATCATATGTTTTTCACTTATGTTTTCAGTGAAAAAAGTGTAAAAAATAATGGACATTTTTCATCACTGAAAAACTTGAAATGTTCAACCAGTGTTATCTTGAATTTTGTTTCAAAAAAGGTTCATAGAATAGCACAAGGATGATTCACCCTGATGGCATATGTCATATCCACTGAATTTCTCTCTCGAAAATTATTCACCACAAGTTGTTAAAACAGCACAAGGTCATGAAGGCTGGGAAAAAAACATAGAACTGCTGTAGAGAATATGTTCACAGAGAGTTCAGTAATCTGTTGTATGTGTGATCAACATTCCTTGTCTATTTCTGAGTCTGCCACTAAATAAAATGCGGTATTTCACAAAGAACGCTGCTATGCAGGTTTGAACCCACCACACATCAATGTGCATTACACATGCACACAAGGGAAACACGCGGCAATTTCTCCAAGCCATCAATAAGCGAGCAAACCGCTGTTCATAAGTGTCTGCGGCTTATGGAATTTAAGCAGTGGGGCATGCCCCCTGTGTCAGACTGTAACTTGCTTGACAGTACAGGCGTTTCTATGTAGATATATTTTTGAATTAAAATTTGAAATTCACTTTCACTGTACAATGCCAATGGTCAGAAATCAATGAAACCCAGTCATCCTTCAGGGACTTTTGTAAATGATAGTTGGCTGCCATTCAAGTCAGCATTTATGCTGCAGCAAAGCAAAGGCATGTCTTGTTCTCCTGGACAACTGTTTACTCTCGTGCCGACCTCACCATACCTGAATCTGCCATCCCTGGTCGAAGCTTTGAGTTGGATTCACGGAATATTATTATGTCTGTTTGGGCATGAAATCCAAAATGTATCTTTGAAACCCAAGAAGCCCAAGAGCAAATGGTTGAGTAATCTGTTTCTCTACCCTAACGGTGATCTCAGTGATGACAATCGTGTCGATATCATTACTTTGCATAATATTAGTTTTTCTTTACTTCCATATCCTGTTTTGTACATAATTGAATTTCATCT